GAAATTAGGGTTTCCAATTTTGAAATTAGGGTTTTCTTTGCAATTAGGGTTTCAAATTGGGGATTTCCCCCAAAATTAGGGTTTTTCATAATTAGACCCAATTTTCATTAAATTAGATTCGGTTAAGGTCACATTGGTACAATTAGAGTTAATTCAATCCTCGTGGGAACGGTACTTGGACTCATAGTCCATTTTACTACTTGTTAACGAACCGTACACTTGCGGTGGGTTTTAAAATCGAAAAGAAATATTTCGTGAACACAGGACGTAGCGCAGACAACAGTAAGAGGGCTGCGACGGTCTATCTCTAGAGGGTATGCTTCTAATTCCATTTTTCTCTTATGTTGGTTTTATCTTTTAAGCATAATTTTACCACACGACTCTCTCATTGTCTCCTCATCCTTTAGGTGGTTGCCCTTCAGACCGGACTTGCTGAATCAAGTCGTCATCAGGGCTTAGAGTTGAAGACGCTTGTAGAAGAAAAGAAGAAAGAGGCCCATCATTACAAAAAAAAAGATAGCTTCCTTGAAAAAATCTCTAGAGGGTCGAAAGCTCGAGCCCGCGAGCAGGAGACAGAGAATGACAATTTGCAGTCTGCATTGGCTCGTGATCCGAAAGAGGTGGTTGAGAGGTATAAGGCCTCTGTTGAGTATACTAAGGACTTAGAGGCATTTGTGGAGCAGTATAAGTCATCGTTTGATTATGTCAGGGCCTTGCATTCGTATAGGGAGAAGGCGATGGTGGCATCTATTAAACTAACCAAGGAGTGAATTTTAACCGAGCACCCTTCTATTGACCCGTCAGCTTTTGATAAGTTCCTTGTGTAGTGTAAGGGGAAGGAGAGTGAGGCTCAACCATCCAGGTCACTTGGTCATTCGTCACGAGACGACAGTGGCAGTGATTCTCCTTCTAGTTGAAGCATGGCTTAGTGATAGTACCTTTTGTTAGTCCCCTTCTTTTTGTGTTGCCTTTTATTTATACTTGTAGCATCATTCCCTACTTGTCCGGAGTATTGGCAAGAGCACATCACATGTTTTTTATATGAATGCTATGTTATTAGCGATTATTAATGTTGAACGCATCGTTCTTTTAACTTGTTTTTCTAGCATTGTTTTCCTTCCTTAGTCGTTTGACAGCATGGGCAAATGACATTCCTCTCGCACATACTAGGCTTGATTCCAATGGTCGGCGACCTTAGTCAATATTTTGACTATTCAAGGCTTCCCGCCTAGCCATATAGGCTAAGTTGACCGTCGGGAGAGAGGTTTAGCGATCGAGGGTCTTTAGCAAATTTTTGGTCTTTTAAGGCTATCTACCTAGCCGTGTTGACTATGTCAACCGTCGAGAGAGGTGTTTAGCGGTTAAGGGCCTTAGTAAATTTTTGGCTTTTCAAGGTTTTCCGCTTAGCCGTGTGGGCTATGTCGACCGTTGGGAGAGGGGTCTAGCGGTTAAGGGCCTTAGGCAATTTTAGCTTTTCAAGGTTCTCCGCCTAGCCACGTGGGCTATGTCGACCATCATAAGAGGGGTCTAGCGATTAAGAGCCTTAGCCAATTTTTGGCTTTTCAAGGATCTCTGCCTAGCTGCGTGGGTTATGTCGACCGTCGGGAGAGGGGTCTAGCGGTTAAGGGCCTTAGCCAATTTTTGACTTTTTAAGGCTCTCTGTCTAGCCGCGTGGGCTATGTTGACCATCGGGAGAGGGGTCTAGCGGTTATGGGCCTTAACTAATTTTTGACTTTTTAAAGCTCTCCGACCGTTAGGAGAGGTGTTTAGCGATTAAGGGTTTTAGCCAATTTTTGACTTTTCAAGGCTCTCCGCCTAACTGCATGGGCTATGTCAATTGCATGTCCTTACGGGATGAGCATGGGAGATTCAAGACTGCATGTTAGCATAAAAAATACTTGGATTCTTGAGTTCAATAGGGGCACCGGGACGTCTTAGCTAATCTAGCCCTTCCTTATCGCCATCATCATCTGCCATTACCAAGGTCTTTCATTAAACATGATAACTAATTGTAACTAAAGGCGCCTTTGTGAGGCGTTACATGGAGTGAATTAAAAACGCAACATATTCTACTGTATTTACAAGAACATAGCCTATGCACCTATCCTGAAGTCTATTGGTATTATCTTTTGAGATGCTCTGCATTCCATGGCCTATCCAGTGGTCTTCCTTTCATGTCTTTCAGGCTATAAGCTCCCTACCCCAGGCTATGGATTACTTCACACGGGTCTTCCCAGTTTGGTCTGAGCTTTGCCTGGGGGTGTCCTGTTACTGTTGCATCCCTTAAAACGAGGTCTCCTAGCTGAAAGATTCTTGGTTTCACCCTCCGATTGAAGTACCCAGTGGCTCTTCGTTTATAGGCCATCATCTTAATTACCGCCTTCTTCCTTACCCCCTCAAGCAGGCCGAGTTTCCTTCTAGTTGTCGTGTCATCCGGTTGCTTGACTTTAATCCTACCAGTCTCACTTAGGATCTCAACTGGGACTACTGTTTCCATCCCAAAGGTTAGTCTGAATGGTGTTTGCCCAGTCGTTTCTCGTGGAGTCATATGATACGCCCATAGCACATTAGGCAGCTCATCTGCCCATAGCCCTTTCTCCTTTTCCAATCTGGTCTTCAGATCCCAAAGAATGACTCAATTTGTCACTTCGACTTGCCCGTTTGATTAAGGATGGGCGACCGAGGTCAGTCTATGATCGATGTGATAACTTGCACAAAAGGTCTTGAAGCTAGAATTATCAAACTGTCTGTCGTTATCCATCACCAATATCCTAGGTATCCCGAACCGGCATATTATATTTTTCCACACAAAGCCTTGTATCTTTCCTATCATGATGGTCACCAGTGGCTCCATCTCCACCCATTTAGTGAAGTAGTCGATGGCGACCAACAAAAACTTCCCCCACCCTTTGGCCATGGGTAGAGGTCCTATAATGTCCATTCCCCACTGAAAAAACGGGCACACCCCAAATATGACTACCTGTTGTTCGGCTGAGACATGGATCAAATTTCCATGACGTTGGCATGTGTCACATTTTCGTACCAACTCTTTGGCATCCTTTTTCATAGTTAGCCAATAGTAGTCCTGTCGTAGAATTTTGAAGGCAAGGGATGTTACCCCTTGGTGGTTACCGCAGGTCCCGGTATAGACCTCAAACAGTACCTCTTTAGCTTCGGTGGGGCGTATGCATTTTAAATATGGCATGGTAAAGCCCCGCTTGTAGAACTGCCCATCGATGATCGTAAATGAAGCTATTCGAGCTTTCAATCTCCTCTCCTCCAGGGGTCTTCCGGTACCTTATCCTCTACAAGATATTTGACTATCGGATCCATCCAACTTTCTTCGTGTTCAATATTCTTCACCTCAGCCCAGCGCTGAATGCTGGGTTGTTGTAGGACTTGCACACTCGCTGTCCGAAGTAAGTTTTTTGGGTTGGCCGATGCGAGCTTTGCTAGTATGTCTGCATGTTCATTATCTTTTTGTGAGACCTTCGTCACCTTGAAGCTTGTGAACCTTCTTTGCAGATCCCTTACTTTCATTAAGTATGCTTCCATCCTTTCATCCTTCGCTTCGTATTCTCCCGATACCTGCCCAACTATTAGTTACGAGTCACTACATACTTCAACTGAAGTCACTCCCAGCCCTGCTGCCAAACCCAAGCCTATGATGACCATCTCACACTCGTTGTCGTTATTGGTGGCAGGGAACTCAAAGCGTAGCGAGTATTTTTAATTCTTCGGAGTCTGGTCCGATAATTATGGCACCTGCTCCTGATCTCTCTGCATTTGAGGAACCGTCTACAAAGATCTTCCAATCTGCCTTCTGCCCTTCTGGGGGCTCTGTCGGGATGGTGAGCTCAGCAATGAAGTCTGCCAGAGCCTGCGCTTTGATGGCTGTCCTGGGCCTAAATTCAATATCAAACTCACTTATTTCAATCGCCCATTTCTACAACCTCTCGGAGGTTTCTAATCGATGTAGGGTCTATTTGATGGATTGGTCAGTCATTACTTGCACCGTATATGATTGAAAGTAAGGTCTAAGCTTCCTCGCTGCAACAATCAACGCGAGCACCAGCTGTTCGGCTAGGCTGTATCTTGTCTCTGCGCCTTTGAGGACCTGACGACGTAGTAGATCGGCTTTTGTGCCTTTGAGATTTCTTTCACAAGAACGGCGCTAACTGCTCATGGTGACACTGCGAGGTAGAGATACAGTACGTCACCCGGGCATGGGCTAGCCAGGATAGGAGGTTGCTGTAGTGACTTCTTTAAGGATTTCGGCTATTTTTCACACTCTTGAGTCCATTCGAAATTGGTGGAGCCCACCATGGCTTTAAAGAAGTGGTAGCATTTATCCATCGCCCGACTCATAAAGCAATTAAGGGCCGTCACGCGCCCTATCAGCCGTTGAACCTCTTTCTTACTAGTGAAGCTCTTCATTTCCAGTATTACCTGTATCTTGTTAGGGTTTACCTCAATTCCTCATTGGGTGATCATGAAGCCTAGGAACTTCCCGCCGGCAATGCCAAAAACACATTTCTCCGGGTTGAACTTCAAGTTATTCTGTCGGGCTACGTCAAATACTTTCTGTAGGCGGGCCACGTGGTTGATGGCATTGATACTTTTTACCACCATGTCATCGACGTAAGCTCCTATGACAATCCCGATAAATTCTCTCGAAAAATCCTATTCACCATCTTTTGGTAGGTTGCTCCTACGTTTTTCAGGCCAAATAGCATGGCTGTGTAACAATATGTTCCAAAATATGTGATAAATGACATGTTCTCCAGGTCGAATTCGGCCATTGAAATTTGATGATACCCGAAAAATGCATCTAGAAAGCTGAGCGTGGGTATGAGTCTTTCGGGCATGCTTTATTTAGCCCGGTATAATCTACACACATGCACCATTTCTCGTTAGACTTCTTTACTAGCACAATCTTGGCCAGCCACTTGGGATACTGTACTTCCTGAATGAAATCAGCTTGTAGTAGCTTTTTCACCTCTGCTTTTACTACTTCCTGCCTTTCAAAAGCGAGCTTTCTTTTCTTCTGCTTCACTAATTTAGCTCCAGGGAGGACACCGAGGCGATACTGAACGATGGCTGGGCTGATCCTAGTAATGTCGTTCGGGCTCCATGCGAAAACATCTAGGTTATCTGTCAAGCACCTTACCAACTTCCATTTTTCACCAGATTACAAACCATCCCCGTTGCTAAACTCTCATCCTTCTGATACGGAGATCCTTTCAATCATGTCAAGTGGTTCGATCCACCCCTTCGGAGGTTCAATCTCCAACATCATGATCGATGGTGTTCCCTTGACTGATATACTATCGACATAACATTTTCTGGATGCTTGTTGGTCCCCTCGTACACACCCGATTCCCCAGCTGGTTGGGAATTTCATGACCTGGTGGTAGGTTGAGGGGATGGCTCCATCTGCATTCAGCAATGGCCGACCGTAGATCGCATTATAGGCCATGGGAGTTTTTACAATTAAAAAGCTTGTCACAATTACTACAGCAGTTGGATATGTGCTGAGCGTGACAGGGAGTTCCATAGTCCCTTCCAGAATTACCGTGACCCCTCCAAAGCCTTGTAATGGGGTGTTTACTGTTTTCAACTTGTTATGAGAGGTCTTTAAGCCCAAAAAAGCATCCAGTGTAAGTACATTTGTAGCGCTTCCTCCATCAACCAACACCCTCTTGATGTCGAAATCAGCTATGTCGCCTACTATCACCAAAGCATCATCATGGGGGTGTGCTACGCCTACCAAATCCTCCTCGTTAAAAGTGATATTCTAGCTAAACCTCGTTTTCCTTTAGATGGAACAAATCCAAAGAGACCGCGCGTAGCTTTTCCTTGCCGAGTTTGAATCTCCACCTTTTGCTATCCCCCTGCAATCACGTTTATCACTCTCGCCCTGGGTGGGGGGCAGTCCTCCACTTTTTGTTTATCCCAGTTGTCCTCACATATTTGCCCAAGAGCTCTCGTCTCAGGAGACACTCGATCTCCTCCTTTAGCTGCAGGCACTCTTCTGTATCGTACCCCTAATTCTTGTGGAAATGACAATATCTGCCCTGGTTTCTCTTGTCGGGTGGCATTGCTATGGGCCTCGGCCATTTAAGCTCCTTCATATCTTGTATCTCCATCAATAGCTTCGCGCGCGGGGTGTTTAAAGGGGCGAACGTCCTGGGCTCCTCCCATTTTTGCCTGACTTGTCAGTCTTGGATGGTCCATTTATCCGTGTGCTCACTCCTTAGCTTATTTTTGTTGGTAGATCTTAGCTCGTCTCTCGCCTTTCGCTTGTGACTCTCCATTTTCCATCCCTCTCTGAGTTGTTTTGTGACGTTCTTCGTTTCTTCGGCATCAACATACTTGAATCCCTTTTTCAATAGGTCGTGCATTGACTCTGGAGGGTTTTTGGAAAGTGACATCTTGAAGGCCTGGTTTCGAGTTTCGTTCATCAACGCAATCACCACTGCTGACATTTGAAGATCCTCTATTCCAAGGGTTGCTTGGCTGAATCTAGCCAAATACTCTTGCAGAAACTCATCCTTCGCCTGGACCATCTGCATCAGCCCGATGGTCGTCTTCCTCTTTCTCTTACTACTGAGGAAATAGGCCACAAAGCTCCTGAAAAGTTCATCAAATGTTTGGATAGATCGGGGGGCAAGTGTTGCCACCCAATCTCTAGCTTCTCTCCTGAGGGTCGGGGGGAAATACCGACACATCACTGCATCAGGTGCTGCATAGAGCCTCATTAAATCCACAAAGTTCCGGAGATGGTTAAGTGGATCTTTGACCCCATCATAAGCTCCTATCATAGGCTGCTTGAAGCCTTTAGACAAGGGGACTGCCATGATTTCAGGAGCGAATGGGTCCTCTTCTATGAACATCTGCCTATGCTTATCCTTTCTCTTTGATATTTCATCATCTATTTTCTGCGTCATGATCTCCTCCATCCTCCGTTCCAGATCGGGTTAAGCTATAGGACCATAACCCCTAAAGCCCCCAAGCCTATAGTTACCGGTTGGATGACAGGCGGAGTTTCTAAGTGTGCCTCCTGGGATGGCGGCGCAGCTTCCACCGAATGTGGAGGGAGGGTTGCTCTCCGTGTTTGATTCTGCAAGAGGGACATCATGGCCTTTAGCTGGGTCTCCAAGGCGCTGAACTGGTTTTGTGTCATATACTGTGGCGGCGATGGCAGGATGGGGCCCCTAGCGATTGATTTCGATTCTGTCTCCGTCATTGCTGCTCTCAAGCGCGTGTCACTTCTTGACATGGCTTTGGTGTTCAATGGAAGAAACTTCCCACGGACGACGCCAATGAGATGGTAGGGGAATAATACCTTTTCATCTACCTGATGACGTTTGGTGTTCCTGTTACTCCGTTGGGTGTGTGGAACCTGAGAAATGAGGGTGGGGCTTTCTCCCCCATTTTACCTACGGCGTGATAATCAGTAAATGAAATTAGGAAATATGAGGATGAAATTTAGATGACTAGGAAAAAATGCTATATTCCATACCTGTGTCGCCCTCGGGGGTATTTATAGGTGTCAGAAGTCGGGTGGTAGTGGTGCCCATGTGTCTCACGTTGGCCTCCCCACCATCTCCACGTTCTGAGTGGGGGATCTTAACTTCCCGCTCGGAAGTTGGGTCTGAGGTAACCGTCATGTATTCTCGTCAATTCATCCGAGATTTTGTGACTTAGTGTTGAGATGACCCTATAGGCAATTTCACGTCGGTCAATGATCTTACGTAGATGTAGAGTGCCCCCCAGGGGAGTCGACGATCATTCGTAGAGATAGAGCGCCCCGAGGGGAGGAGACGGCCTCACGTTGAGGTAGAGCACCGAGACAATAGTAAGTCTCGTGTGGAGGTAGAACATCTCGGGGGATCGACGACTTCGCATTGGTGTGCAAAGATTACCTTGCTTATCATCGGAGGCGGTTTCCTCTGTTCATTGATATCACAATACATTGCTATAGTCCTTGTAACTTGACATTGCACTTAATTTCTGATGAATAAGTCGCAACAAGTTAGAAGACATGGTACATAACATTAAGAATTGTAAAAAACCAATAACCTAAAAAGAGACAAATTTTTGCTGATCTCACTGCATATCATAGTCACGTGGTGCCATACAATATAGTGTGTATCAGATTTGAAAATTAAAAATACATCGTCGTAATAGAGTTTGATATGCCTTAAACGAGATAGCTACGATACAAAACAGGTAAGCTTAAGTAGCAATTTTTTTTCTTTCATAAAACTGCAAATTAAGCAGTTCAAACGCTTGTATCCTCATGCATGGTAAAAAATGTAAAAATCACGACAGTATATCACAAGCATCCTATATGATTATCTTGGGGTTTTTTTTCCCACGAATTTCCTGTCCCTTATGTTATCAAATCTTCAAATTAATAATATAGAATTTACTTATATAAATAGCCAAAAAACAGACTAATAAAAAATGAATATTTTCATTTTACCTTAAGATTCAGAAAAATGATTTTGAATTGTTTACTGGTTGTAATTGTTTTGAATTCATTGGAATAGCAATTTATTTGTGTTCAATTACTTAAAATAGATTAAGTGTTGGGTATTAGTAATTTTACAAATTTGTGTTGGTAAAATATTTAGCAATTTGGAATGTTATTAATTGTTGGAGAGTTTCTGGCCGATGTTGTGTTTTAGTTACATAAAATCAAATAAATTATGGGAGTACATAAGTTGGTTTATTCTCGCGTAATTTTCAGTAGAGTAATAATATTTGCAGTCGCTACTATCATAGTTGTTCTACGTGACATACATCAAATCACTAATCGCCACATGTATGCCACGTAAGATGATTGCAGTACAGTGCGATGTGTCATTTTTTCCCAAAATAATATAAAATAAAATTGGAAGGGCTTAAGTTTGAGAAAGGAGGGGACCTATGAATGAGATGAACTTGGGCCAAAGAAATTTGGATGGGCTTACTGTTTATGGCTAGATATTTTTTCGGGAAAAATTCATAAACCATGTATTAACTATACACAATTCAAAGACCATGTTTTAAGTTTAACTAATGCAAAAATCAGGTTTTTATTTAATTAATTAAAAATATTTATTACTTGAATATAATAAAGTCATAATAATACAATTAATGGTCACATGTTTGCAATTAAGGTCACAGATTTATTGACTGGTCACATATCATCAAATTAATTGGTCACGAATTATTTCAAGATCACAAATCAAAATTTTGATAGGTCACAGATTATTTCAAGGTCACAGATCACAATTTATCTAACGATTTTATAGGTCACAATTTATGTTATTGGTCACAAATTCTAAAAATTATAGGTCACAAGTCACATATTTTTAAATTTGATGGTCACAGATTAGTTTTTTAGTCATAAAATGATCGAATTTGAAAGTTACGGATTAATAGTCAGTCACAGGCACTGAATAGTTGGTCACAAACACCAAGCACCCAATCCAATCCACCACAATACCACCACCACCTCCACCGCCATTGGCCATCGCCTTCACCCCGTCACCATCGCCACAAACGCCAATACCAACACCAAAAAATTGACGACCACCACCGTGGTCACCTGCAACACAATCACAAACACTAACAAACATCTCTACCCCAGATCGTCTCACCTACAACCACCGCCACTAACATTACCGCCAATGCAACTGCCACCTCCACCGCACCATCACCACGCCGTCCCACCTACAACCACCACCAACATTATCGTCGCCTCCACTGCACTAGCACCACCACCACCACAAGATAGCCACCATGTAAACACCATTACCACCACCACAAGAAAAACCATCCAAACCCACCACACAACTGCCAGATCCACCACCACACAAACACTACACCATCACCACAAAACACCAAGCTAGTATAGCGCTTCGCCTGTGAATAGTTGCCGGATTGAGTTTGCTTCGCGACGGTGCAGCGAATCTGCTTCGTGCTGACTGGTATATTGCTTCTCCTGTGAAGATGCTGCTTCGCCGCCGCCACCGTCATTTCACCACTGCAACTCGGGATGATTCGCGAAAGGAAATGTGTGGCGGCGCAGTGGATCTGCTTCTTGGCGGCTTGGTGTATCTTCGCCGTGACACCTCCTCTTCATTACAGCAGCACCGACAACGGTGCTCCGGGCAATGGTCCTAAAGGAGAAAATTTCAGATCGAGATGCTGTGCTTTTGCCTGAGCGAGCCAGTGAATGATTGCCACCATGAGTAAGGCGGTGGATTGTTGATGTGGGTGGTGGACTCTGGCAGTTGAAGGCGGTGGATTTTTGATGTGGGTGGTGGACTCCGGCAGTTCAACGGATAGAGTAGCGAGAGAGATGGGAGAGAATGGAAAGAGGGAAATTGATTTAGACTAGGGTTTGTAGATATATATTTTTAATTATTAATTTCAAACCTGAATTTTGATTAAATAATCTTTGCACCCGACTTTTGCAGAATGAAATTTAAATACCGGTAGCAGTGTAATTTCCACTATTTTTTCCGTTTAAGTTCTAAAATCTAAGAGGAGGCGGAGCTAAAATCGTGTGCATATCCGCTAAAGTCGCATAAACTATATTTCAAACTGGACGAGGAATATAAAGGAGAGAGTATCTGTCTCATCAACCTCGCCATTTTTATCTCTGTTGCACATACACAGCATAAACACTCTCAGGGCAGACAATGAACTTCACCTTCCCGCGGTTCATACTTCAGACTTCAACCACCTTAAGAAACCATGGTTATTTACTTTTTTCTCCCCACAGAAGAAATTATTGTGCAATTTCGCTCTCCTCATCTCCAAAGGTAAACGCTTCTTCTATATCCAAACACAAAGAAATATTAAACAAACGGGTTCTGAATTTTTGATGAATTCTTTGAGTAGTCAGGTGAAGAAACACTATTGGTGGTTGGTGGTGGAGCTGCTGGAACGTATGGTGCCATTAGGGCTAAAACTGTTGCACCTCATCTTAAAGTTATTGTCATTGAAAAGGGGAAGCCATTATCAAAGGTTATTTTTATTAAGAAGGTGTTTTCAGTTTATGTTTATGAAATTTCAATGTTGGTGGATTTCATTTGAAGAGATTGTGGTGTTTCGGCAGG